GGAAAATTGAAACCATATGTAGCTAACATAGCTGTGAATCTGTGGGGTCGAGACTTGTTGCAACAATGGAATACTCAGATTAACATCCCTCCAATCTCAGAAACAAATCATAAACTAGCACATGTTTCTGAGAGAAATATTAGAAGGCATTATTCTGAGTGGTCACCAACCATCCATATTATACAAGAACAGGGCACAACAACTGATGATCTTCCAAAGACATCAACAGCTCTACCTTTAAAATGGTTAACAGACAAGCCTGTATGAGTCCAGCAATGGCCTTTAACAACAGAGAAACTCCAGGCTTTAGAAGAGCTGGTAGAAGAACAGTTAAATGCTCACCATATTGAAGAATCAACCAGCCCTTGGAATTCTCCTGTATTTGTTATTAAAAAGACATCTGGTAAATGGAGAATGGTAACAGACCTTAGAGCAATTAACAAAGTAATTCAGCCCATTCAGCTCTCTACAATCTGGAATTCCTTTACCTACTCTGTTACCAAAAGGATGGCCTCTCATAGTTATTGGTTTAAAAGACTGTTTCTTTTCAATACCCTTACAAGAAAAAGACAGAGAAAGATTTGCTTTCACAGTGCCTACTTATAATAATTCTCAACCAGTTAAAAGATTTCAATGGAGGGCCCTCCCACAGGGAATGTTGAATAGCCCAACTCTGTGCCAGTATTTTGTACAACAGCCATTGGAAGTGATACATAAAAAATTTCCTAAATCTGTAATTTATCATTATATGGATGATATTTTACTACCTGACTCAAATGCAGATACTTTAGAAAGAATGTTTGAAGAAGTAAAGAAAATTTTGCCTTGCTGGGGATTACAAATGGCTCCTGAAAAGATACAAAGAGGAGATTCTATTAATTATTTAGGATATAAAATAGAGCTACAAAAAATTAGACCCCAAAAGGTGCAAATTAGGAGACATAGACTACAGACTCTTAATGACTTTCAAAGATTATTTGGAGATATTTCTCATCTATGAACTATTGTTGGGGTAAAAAATGATGAACTGCATAATTTGTTCAAAACCTTAGAAGGTGACAAGGACTTAAATAGTCCAAGAGAATTATCACCTGAAGCTGAGAAAGAATTGGCCTTGGTAGAAAAGAAAGTACATGAAGGGCACGTAGATCGTATTAATCCAAAGCTGGATTGCATTTTGGTTATTTTACCTTCTAGGCATTCTCCTACAGGAATATTAATGCAGAGGGAAGATATTATATTAGAATGGATATTTTTACCAAATAAACCAAATAAAAAATTAAAAACTTATGTGGAAAAAATCTCTGACTTGATTTGGAAAGGAAAATTGAGACTTCGTCAATTAGCAGGAATAGACCCAGCAGAAATTGTCGTACCTTTAACTAAGGAGGACATTGAAAAATTATGGACAGAAAGTGAACCTTGGCAAAGAGCTTGCAGTAATTTTTTGGGAGAAATTAACAGCAAATATCCCAAAAGTGATAGAATTGATCTTATAAAGAGAGCTGATTGGATCTTGCCTCCAATTGTACGGGAAAAACCCTTTCGGATTCCTGGGAACTTCCCTAGTACTTTGTTTCTGCATATTCCTATGATGTCTTCATTTGTCATGATCTCTATTTCCTTATTCTCCCACTTGGTTTCTGTTCCAGTTCAACCCTCCCGTTCCCCTATGTTCTCGTCCCCCATCCCTTGCCCTCCATTACTCCTTCTCGCCCCCAGTTTGCTCATGCAGATCTCATCTATTTCTCCTTCGCTGGGTGATCATGCGTCCCTCGTAGGGTCCTCCCTGCTGGGTAGTCTCACTGGAGCTGTAGGTTGCAGTCTGATTGTCCTTTGCTTTACATCCACTTATGAGTGAGTACATACCATGTTTGTCTTTCTGAGTCTGGGTTACCTCACTCAGGATGATATTTTCTAGTTCTATCCATTTGCCTGCAAATTTCATGCTGTCATTGTTTTTCTCTGCTGAGTAGTACTCCATTGTGTATATGTACCACATTTTCTTAATCCATTTTTCAGTTGGCAGGCATCAAGATTGTTTCCAGATTCTGGCTGTTAGGAATAATGCTATGAACATAGTTGAACATGTATCCTTGTGATATGATTGAGCATTCCTTGGGTATATGCCCAAGAGTGGTATAGCTGGGTCTTGAGGTAGATCGATTCCCAATTTTCTGAGAAAACTGCCATAGCCATACTGATTTCCAAAGTGGCTATATGTACAGCTTTGCACTCCCACCAACCGTGGAGGAGTGTTCCCCTTGCTCTGCATCCTCTCCAACATAGACTGTCATTCGTGTTTTTGATGATGGCCATTCTGACAGGTGTAAGATGGTATCTCAGAGTCGTTTTTATTTTGCATTTCCCTGATGATTAAGAGTGTTGACCAATTCCTTAAATGTCTTTCAGCCATTTGAGATTCTTCTTTTGAGAATTCTGTTTAGCTCTTTAGCCCTTTTTTAAATTGGATTGTTCAGTATTTTGATGTCTAGTTTCTTGAGTTCTTTATATACTTTGGAGATCAGCCCTCTGTCAGATGTGGGGTTGGTGAAGGTCTTTTCCCATTCTGTAGACTGTCTTTTTGTCTTATTGACAGTGTCTTTTGCCCTACAAAAGCTTCTCAGTTTCAAAAGGTCTCATTTATTAATTGTTCTCAGTGTCTGTGCTACTGGTGTTATATTTAGGAAGTAGCCTCCTGTGCCAATGCATTCAAGAGTACTTCCTACTTTCTCTTCTATCAAGTTCAGTGAAACTGAATTTAATGTTGAGGTCTTTGATCCCCTTGGACTTGAGTTTTATGCATGGTGATAGATATGGATCTATTTGCAATCTTCTACATGTTGACATCCAGTTATGCCAGCACCATTTGTAGGAGATACTTTCGTTTTCCCATTGTATCGTTTTGGCTTCTTTGTCAAAAATCAGGTGTTCATATGTGTGTGGATTAATGTCAGGGTCTTCAATTTGATTCCGTTGGTCTGTATGTCGGTTTTTATTCTAGTACCAAGCTGTTTTTATTACTATAGCTCTATAGTAGAGCTTAAAGTCAGGGATGGTGATGCCTCCAAAGGTTGCTTTATTGCACAGGATTCTTTTAGCTATCCTGGGTTTTTTGTCTGTGGAGAACTGTGTTGGGATTTTGATGGGGATTGCATTGAATCTGTAGATTGCTTTTGGTAATATTGCCATTTTTACTATGTTAGTCCTACTTATCCATGAGCATGGGAGATCTTTCTGTTTTTTGATATCTTCTTCAATTTCTTTCTTCAGAGACTTAAAGTTCTTATCATACAGGTCCTTCACTTGCTTAGTTAGTGTTACCCCAAGACATTTTATATTATTTGTGGCTATTGTAAGGGGTGATATTTCTCTGATTTCTTTCTCAGCCTGTTTATCATTTGTATATAGGAGGGCTATTGATTTTTTTTTTTATCTTGTATCCTGCCACATTACTGAAGGAGTTTATCAGCTGTAGGAGTTCCTAGTAGAATATTTGGGGTCACTTATGTATACTATCATATCGTCTGCAAATAGGGAAAGTTTGACTTCTTCCTTTCCAATTTGTATCCCCTTGATCTCCTTTTGTTGTCTTATTGCTCTAGCTAGAACTTCAAGTACTATATTGAATAAATATGGGGAGAGTGGACAGCCTTGTCTTATTCCTGTTTTTAGTGGAATCGCTTTGGGTTTCTCTCCATTTAATTTGATGTTGGCTGTTGGCTTGCTGTAAATTGCCTTTATTATGATTAGGTATGTTCCTTATATTCCTGATGTCTCCAGAACCTTTATCATGAAGGGGTGTTGGATTTTGTCAAAGGCTTTTTCAGCATCTAATGAGATGATCATGTAGTTTTTTTTCTTTCAGTTTGTTTATATAGTGTATTACATTGACAGATTTTTGTATGTTGAACGATCCTTGCATCCTTGTGATTAAGCCTACTTTGTCATGGTGGATTATTTTTTGATGTGTTCTTGGATGTGGTTTGCTTGTTAAGTATTTTTGTATCAATATTCATGAGGGAGATTGGTCAGTAATTCTCTTTCTTTGTTGCATCTTTGTTTGGTTTGGGTATCAGGGTAACTGTAGCCTCATTAAAAAAGAGTTTGATAATGTTCCTTCTGTTTCTATTGTGTGGAACAATTTGAAGAGTATTGGAATTAGCTCTTCTTTGAAAATCTGATAGAATTCTGCACTGAAACCATCTGGTCCTGGGCTTTTTTTGGTTGGGAGACTTTTTGTTTTTGTTTTTGTTTTTTGTTTTTTTTTCCAAAGATTTATTTATTTATCTATGTATACAGTGTTCTGTTTGTATGTATGTCTGCACACCAGAAGAGGGCACCAAACCTCATTATAGATGATTGTGAGCCACCATGTGGTTGCTGGGAATTGAACTCGGGACCTCTGGAAGAGCAGTCAGTGCTCTTAACCTCTGAGCCATCTCTTCAGCCCGGTTGGGAGACTTTTAATGACCGTTTCTATTTCCCAAGAATCCCTTTTCTTCCAACACAAATCTCTCCCTCGTGGCAGCTATCTGTGGGCTGGGAAGGAGTAGGGGGATTGGGAAGAGTGAAGAATTTTCCAGGCTGAGGTGAGGCACCAGCATGTAGCTAAGTTGCTGGAGACCAAACTCCACCCTTCTGCCTGTAACAAGTCTTCTTTCTGGTTCACTGGCGGCTTTGCCTTCCCTTCAGTACCGCTACTCACTCTCTTCTTCTCCCTTCTGTATGACTTAGATTGACTTCCATGCACTGTAGACTGTGACTTGTGGTTTCCAGGGGGCATGGTTTCATGTTTTTATTTTACTCTCTTTTAATTATTAGATTTATTGGGGTCTGGGGAGGAGCTGCATGCAAGCCTGGGGCTGACTTGAGGGAGTCACTTTTCTCCTACCATGAGATAGATAAGGCAGGCTGTCAGGGTTGGTAGAGCTGTCTTGTAGTTCCTTATGGTTTGTTTCCAATCTCAGTGTACCTATCTTCCCGTGTTTTCCCCCCAGCCCCGTGGGAAGGAAAGCAGTCTGATGGACAGTCCAGCAGTCCCCAGAGCTCACACTCCACCTTCTCCTCCGCAGTGAGAGTGGACAGCTCTCTTCTAGCCTTGGGGAAGAAGTCTTTCCAGAGGTCGGACAGACTCCACACAAGTAAGTTAGTTTACAAAGGCTTCAGATTTTAGTGCCATGATATGTCCAAAGTATGCTTAAAATTCATCAGCCACTAGCTTGAGTTTAATGTGTAATTTGAATTATTTTTAAAATTTGAATTTTATTTTTAAAAGCTAGACATAATTTCTATTATTTTCTTGTTTTGAGTGATCAATGGGGGAGGGCCTAGCCCATGATGAGTGCTGCCATCCCTGGGCTGCTGGTCCTGGGTTCTATAAGAAAGCAGGTTGAAGCCGGGCGGTGGTGGCGCACGCCTTTAATCCCAGCACTCGGGAGGCAGAGCCAGGCGGATCTCTGTGAGTTCGAGGCCAGCCTGGACTACCAAGTGAGTTCCAGGAAAGGCGCAAAGCTACACAGAGAAACCTTGTCTCGAAAAACCAAAAAAAAAAAAAAAGAAAGAAAGCAGGTTGAGCAAACCATGGGAAACAAGTCAGTAAGCAGCACCCCTCCATGGCCTCTGCATCAGCTCCTGCCTCCAGTCTCCTGCCATGTTTGAATTCCTGTCCTGACTTCATTCAATGATCAATAGCAATGCTGAAGTGAAAGCCTAATAAGTCCCTTTCCTACCAACTTGCTTTTTGGTCATGGTATTTCGTCACAGCAATAGAAACCCTAAGACAGATTTGTACTGTTACTTTGCTGAATTAAATTAGTTCTAAGAGCTTTTGTGTAATCTTTAGGAGATTGTGTATATAAGATCTCATAATTGGCAGATACATACTTTGGCTTCTTCTATTTCTATGGCCCCCATAGGCTCATAGGGAGTGGCACTATTAGGAAGTGTGGCCTTGATGGAGTAGGTGTGGCCTTGTTGGAAGAAGTGTGTCACTGGGGGCGGGGCTTTGACGTTTCAGAAGCCCAAGCCAGTCCCAGTGTCTCTCTCTTCCTGATGTCTATGGATCAGGATGTAGACCTCTCAGCTACCTCTCCAGCACCATGTCTGCCTGCATGCTGCCATTCCTGCCATGGCAATAATGGACTAAACCTCTGAACTGTAAGCCAGCCCCAACTGAATGTTTTCCTTTAGCCAGGAGTGGTGGCACATACCTTTAATTCCCAGCCCTCAGGAGCCAGAGGCAGGCAGATCCTACGAGTTCAAGGCTAGCCTGGTTTACAGAGTTAGTTCAAGGACAGCTAGAGCTACACAGAGAAATCCTGTCTGGAAAAACAAAAAACAAAAAGGAAAAAAAAAATCAAGTATAGTTGAAACTATCCTAATATAGTACAGTTTATATCTGCAATGTCCAATAAATCCATTAGCCACATGTGGCTTTTAAATTGAATTTAATCTAGAGCTGTAGAGATGGCTCAGCACTGGCTGCCCTTCCAGAGAACCCAGGTTTTATTCCCAGCACCCACATGGCTGCTAACAACTGTCTGTAACTCATTTCCAGGTGATCTGCTGCCCTCTTCTGGCCTCCACATGCACTGCATGCACATGGAACACACTGGTATAGGAGAAATACACCCATACATACAAAATAAAAATAATCTTTTAAAAAATGTTAACATAGATGTAAATCTAATTTAACTTAAATCTAAAATGCAATCTCCACTGACAATTTCCATATTTCAAGTACTCAATAGCCAACTATGAGAAGTGGCTACCATACCGACTACAAGAGACACAGAATCTCCCCATCATCAAAACATTCTCTTGGAGAGTGTACCCTGAAAGAGGTCATACCAAGTGCCTCTTTTCAAACTACAATTCTGGTGCACCTATGAATAATGCATTTGGGTGCGTGCATGTGGCGCTGGGGAAAGGAAGAGGAGGGATGTGAATGGACACCACGAGGCTAACTTTCCTACAGGAGAAACACATCAGGAGAGATGTGAATGGGCACCACGAGGCTAACTTTACTATACGAGAAACACATCAGGAGGGATGTGAATGGGCACCACGAGGCTAACTTTACTACAGGAGAAACACATCAGGAGGGATGTGAATGGGCACCACGAGGCTAACTTTACTACAGGAGAAACACATCAGGAGGGATGTGAATGGACACCACGAGGCTAACTTTCCTACAGGAGAAACACATCAGGAGGGATGTGAATGGGCACCACGAGGCTAACTTTACTACAGGAGAAACACATCAGGAGGGATGTGAATGGGCACCACGAGGCTAACTTTACTACAGGAGAAACACATCAGGAGGGATGTGAATGGGCACCACGAGGCTAACTTTACTACAGGAGAAACACATCAGGAGAGATGTGAATGGGCACCACGAGGCTAACTTTACTACAGGAGAAACACATCAGGAGGGATGTGAATGGGCACCACGAGGCTAACTTTCCTATACGAGAAACACATCAGGAGGGATGTGAATGGACACCACGAGGCTAACTTTACTACAGGAGAAACACATTGGGAGGGATGTGAATGGGCACCACGAGGCTAACTTTACTACAGGAGAAACACATCAGGAGGGATGTGAATGGACACCACGAGGCTAACTTTACTACAGGAGAAACACATCGGCCAGCAAAGAAGAGTGCAGTCCCAGCTCCTCAGGAGGCTGAGGCAAGAGGATCGATCACACATTCAAAGCCAACCTGGACAGCTTAGTAAGACCCTGCCTCAAAATGAAAAGTAGAAAAAAGGGTTAGGAATACAGCTTGATGGTAGAATGTGAGAAGTCTGATTTCAATCCTCAGTGGCAAAAGAGGAAAAAAAAAACCCAGAATCAAAAATGAGCTGGAGCTGGGCATGGTGGTATATCCCTGTAATCCCCACATTTGGGGAGCTAAGGCAAAAGGATATGTGTTTGAGGCCAGCCTGGAGTTTATTGCAAACCCCTGGCCAAACGTGTAATACAACAACAACAACAAAATCAAGAATGACACTATTGGAAATTAGAAAAAAATGAAACAGAATTATGAACTATTTATGAATCTGTGTTAGGTCTTATTTATCTTTACAGCCTAACGAGTTAGTTGGCTTATTCTTCGGACGACTGTCTGAAACTGTTCTGTAAACATCAGGGTAGAATGATATTATAGGCATTTTGGAGATTGTTAAGAATTCTAGACAGATGTCATGGGTGGATGAGAAGAAGTAAGCTAACAATGTATACCAATAAAACAGAAGCCTCTAGAAGGCTTAGATTTAACCAATGTGCAGGCATCCTAACTGAGGAAAGGTAAACTGAGGGTTCCATGATAAACACATGGAGTTCTCTGATCGCTTCAGAGATAACAATCTGAGACATAGCAAATGGAAATGCAAGCATCTTTCAGTAACCCAGAAATAGCAGGATTCAAGGTACATTTACACATTTAAAAAAAAAAAAGAGCTGCCCCCTTTAAAGCACGTGCCTTTCATCCCAGCCCTTGAAAGGCAGAGAAGCAGGTGGATCTCTGTGAGTCTGAGGCCAGCCTGGTCTCCATAGTGAGTTCCAGGACAAGGCTACATAGTGAGACTCTGCCCCAAAACAAAACAAAATGAGAAACAACAAGAAGCAAAAGGACACAAGTTGAGAGCTAACACTTACCAAACCTAAGCTCTGGGAAGAGTAGCAGTGACTCCCAGGCATGTGTCATTCTCATACACAAAACTCATTTTGATCCCACACCACTTTCACTTCTCATTCTGGAAGATCTGGACCAGAGACCTCACGGAGATTACCTGACACATCGTGAGTTCAGGTTTATCAACAACTGCTAAATAGCAGGGCCTTTATGGTGCCAAGCTGCCAAAAAAGTATCCAAAATTTATTTATTCATTTGATGTATATGAGTGGTTTGCCTGGGTGTATACATGCGCACTACATATGTGCCTGGTACCCATGGGTGTCAGAAGAGGATGTTGGATCCCCTGGAATTGGAGTTGCACAGTTGTGAGCCACCATGCAGGTGCTGGGAAATGGACCTGAGTCCTCTGAAACAGTAGTTAAGTATTCTTAATCATTAAACCATCTCTCCAGCCCTCTGCACAAGAGTGTTTCTCTGTGAAAATTTCAAATAAACTTCTACCTTCCAAAGTCTTCCAAATCCGTAGAGCAATCCAGGAAATTTACTATCTGCTTCTCCAGGCAGCTGTCAATCTTTTCTCCAGCTATCATTGTGGAGTTGAATATATTTCGTGTCAATGAATGTAGGAACATGGCTTCACAGCTCCCTTCCAACAGCAAGTCTAAGAAAACTCCAATATCTTTAATATATATAATATATATTATATATATATATATAAAGTCAGGCTAGCAAGCCAACAGAATTTAAGTGTAAATGATAATCCATTACATAAATATTTTAATATACAAAACGGTATAAACAGAATGCTGGCTATACAGGAATCGCTAAGTCTTGAGCAAATCCTTCTCACTCTACCAACACCACCCCTCCTAGAAATACAGGATACCTACAATGACTATGAGCAGCAAAGTGGAGGTCACACAAAAATAATAATAATAATAATAGTAATAGTAATAATAATAACAACAACAACAATAATAATAATAATAATAATAGGCGTAGTACCCTTCTTTGGGAAATTCACAAAGATTCCAACCGACACAGAAGTTTCCTTTGCTGAGGTCCTACCTTCAATATTCTCTCCCAGGAGGCCAATCCAAACACACAGGTGCTCTCACGATTCCCTCATATTCCCCAGCTCATCCCTGCCTCAATACTTTCACAACCCCGATTTTTTTTTCCCCCTGACGAATTTTCTTTTACATGTCAGTCCTAAATGAAGAAAATCAGCTCAAGTCTGTCTCTCGGGAACTTTCCCAGAGCACCAGATCTCAGACCATCGAACAAAACTTCCCCCCTGCTGACCCCTCCTCTGTACCCAGGCCTGGCATCCCTGTCCTCACAGCTCTCCCACCTGAGCCACAGAGCCCCTCCTGCTGGCACAACAGCCTCCATGGAGAAGCTCCTCAGAAGCGCCAGCTCCGGAAAGTGTCCTCTCAGCACTGAGGAGACTGAGGCAGAGGGATCACTGCAGTTTCGAGTCCAGCCTGAGCTGCACTGTGTGTTCCAAACTAGCCTCCTCCAAGAGTGTTCCCCTATCTCAAAGGGGGCAGTGGCGGGTCGCCTGGAGAGATGGCTCAACCGAGGACAAAGTTCTGTTCGCGGCACCCACATCAGGTGGCTCAGCACCACCTGTCACTCCAGATGATCGGTTGTCCTCCTCTGGACTTGTAGGCACCAGGCATGCAAGTGGTACATCCACACCTGCTGGCAAACATTTATACGCATAAGATAAACCATTTCTTTAAGAAGCGGGAGGCCATCACGTAAACCTGGCAGGGGTCAAGGACCTGGAAATTTTTGCAGGCCAGTCTGGAGAACCCAGAACACTTTGGTGAACTGGGAAAAGGGAAAGAAATATATCCTCCTGACAGTGTGACAGCCGCTGAGTAGAGTTTGATGGCTGGTGTGCGCTCTCTCCCTCCCTCCCTCCCTCCCTCCCTCCCTCCCTCCCTCCCTCCCTCCCTCCCTCCCTCCCTCCCTCTCTCTCTCTCTCTCTCTCTCTCTCTCTCTCTCTCTCTCTCTCGGATGAATGTTTTGTTTGTTTTTCACGAAGCTGCAAAGATTCACTGTGGAAAAACAGCAGCAGCCAATGCAGCTCAAGGTGAAATGAAGACAGTACTGTCCTTCATCTGACATTGTACAACACTTCCCTGTGCTCCCAGGCATTTCTAACGAGAAGAAACATTAAGTCTTTTGACCAAGATCCAAGAATAGCTAGGCGGTGGTGGCACACGCATCTCAGCACTTGGAAGGCAGAGGCAGGCAGATCTCTTGTGAGTTCGAAGCCAGGCTGGTCTACAGAGTGAGTTTGAGGACATCACTGTATCAGATGAGAAACCCTGTCTCGACAAAACAGTAAAACAAAAAAGATTCAGGGATAGATCTGGGTGAGTTATAATATTATATGAGACAACATTGTTATCCTGAAATAAGTCACCATTTTTTTGGTAGGGTCTCACCACATAACTCTTGCTGGCCTGGAATTTGGCTATGTAGACAAGGCTAGCCTCAAAGTAACAGAGATCTGCCTGTTGGAATGTTGGGATTAAAGGATGGTTCCTCATCAAACCCAGCCTCATACCTTTTTTTTTTTTTTTTTCCCCGTTTTTCAAGACAGGGTTTCTCTGAGTAGCTTTGTGCCTTTCCTGGAACTCACTCTGTAGCACAGGCTGGCCTTGAACTCACAGAGATCCCCCTGCCTCTGCCTCCCTAATGCCGGGATTAAAGGAGTGCGACACGACTGCCTGACATTTTTTTAAATTTATTTATTTTATGTATATGAGTACACCTTTATTTCAGAAGTGGGCATTGGATCCCACTACAGATGGTTGTGAGCTTCCATGTGGTTGCTGGGAGTTGAACTCAGGACCTCTGGAAGAGCAGCCAGTGCTCTTAACCACTGAGCCATCTGTCCAGCCTACCTCATAACTTTTAACCATAGATAATCTCATGAATTCTACACACCAGGGCTTAGCCTCTAGTCTAGGGTCTTACAAAAATATGTACATTATGTTTATCTGCATCCACTGGGGAGTTGGGGACTTTCTTCAGTAGCACTGTTGAGAATAGTATCTTATCCATTGGTATTGCTAAAAATTATTTCGGGACTTCTCTAATTTAAAACACCCATGCTATTGCAGGTTACTTCCCACTTTTATTTGGGGATGGAAGTGGGAGCTGCCATGTTCACTCCTCATGGACTTCACATATTTCTCATATGCCTCTTCACTGTTAATTCATCCAACTCTAAAGGGTCACTCATCTTTACTAGCCAACCATCTTCATGACAAGATCTTTGGACAAGCCCTGGATTTTCTTGGAGCATTTCATTGGCATCCGTCACCTCTCCTGACAGGAGAGTGAACTTCGTTGGCAGCCTTCCCCCTTCCAAAGCTTCCAAAGCACCAAACTCAGCTCTTTATTTTTTTGTCCCACCTTGAGGCAGCCAATACAGTAAACAACATCTCCCAAAGGTTCGTGTGCAGCATTGCTGACTCCCACTGTTCCAGGACCACTTTCCTTTGATGTCCGTTCATGTTTCTGTGAATTGATGAACTGACAACATGGCAGATGTTGTCCTTCCTCTTTTACTGCTGGGAGAAAAATGAAGCTCCAGGAGCAAGGACTAGGACTGGGCATGGCCCTTGCGGCCTGACACCTGAAGTGGGAAGTGCCATTCCAGACCCAGGAGGCAGCTCAGGCCAGCAGTTAACCACAAGATAGCCTTGGAAGAAATAACCACTGTGTGTGTGTGGTGGTGGTGGGGTATTGGGGGATGTCAGGAGGAATTCAATGCTTCTTTTTAATTAATTAACTGGCTCTAATTTTTTTAATGATGTATAATTCGTACCTCACCCTTCTTCTCAGAACCCAGAGTTCCCCAGACTGCTGAATGAAGCAGGCAAGCATAATTGGTAGTTTAGCAACCTTGGACTCCACTTGGTTTGGGCTCTACACACACCCCTCTGCTAACAATGTGCTTGAAATCTGAGACATTTACCCACACATACAATACAAGTGTCAGCTCCTCTCCAAATAATGCACCTATCCTGCACTGAGATGCATGCACACCCTCTCTGAACTATAGAATAAGTTTCTCCTCCCCTTAACAATCATCAAACATAGATTGAGTCTATTCAAAAGTATTCTCAGTACATATGCCTGAACCGGTTTAGGGTACGTGCACAATAAGGTAAACTTTGTCTTCAAAGTGAACTTTTAGGGAAATCTATTTGCCACCCTACACATATTTATAATTGAGCTTGGATATGATTAAAATCAAATGTATTATGGGATGGGGCATGCACACTAGAGAAAGAGTTATATAACTTAATCTGTCAATCAAAGTAGAGCCATCCAAACTGTCCCTCTTAGCAACCAAACTCCCCCCTTCTCTTGAACCCTATAAAAGAAGTCCCAAACAGTGACTGTAGCCTTTGAGGACCTTCATTTCTGTGGCTTATTGTCAATCCTGACTGTATATTCCTTTCTAATCTGTCCCATCAGTTTGCCTTGAATAAAGTTTGTGTTTCTTTGCAAATCTGTGTGAGCCTCTTATTTCAGTCTGGTGAATAAGAGGCCACGAACCTGGAAACACTGGTCTAGATTGCAGCTGCCACTAACAAAGCCAGGGGTCTCACAGCAAAAGCAGGAAAATTTGAGCAACAAAATGAATGACAACAGTATTGAGCCGTAACACAAAGTACAAAAGAAATATACACGCATCTATACCAGTAAATATAAGTGAACAAATAGAATGTGGGGAGAGGGAGACAAATCTTTCTTACTCAAGAATTTCAAATATGTGTTGTGTTACAGTATTCCTCCAGGAGATGGGACTTAATCATGCCAGCCCCATACCTCCGATAGGAGTTAGATTTATAGATTGGCCACTTCCAGAAGCAAAGTATGAACAAAGAAAATAACTTCCAGTAGAGAAATGTGGCATGCACTCCCCTACAAAGTATTTGAGACTAGCTAGCAGGACATACTGATAACAGATCCCTCTTGGTATGCTAGAATAGGGAGAGCACGCCACTGCTGTGTATTCTCCATTCCAACCACATCATACACACATAATTTCAGTCTAAGCATAAAGAGAACATCACAGAGACTCAAATTCAAGGATTTCTTCTTCCTCCTCTTCTTCTTTCTTCTCCTTCTCCTTCTTTCTCCTCCTTCCTCCTCCTCCTTCCTTCTTTTCTTCCTCCTTCCTTCTTCCTCCTCCTCCTCCCTTTTTTTTCTTCCTCCTCCTCCTCTCCCCCCTCCTTCCTCTTCGTGGTAGAGCACTAGAGAACTCTGGGTTTAGTCTTCAGCAACATGGTACTGCTGTGGGATGTTCTGTATGGCAAATGTGTTGCTGATTAATCAATAAATAAAACACTGATTGGCCATTGGCCAGGCAGGAAGTGTAGGCGGGACAAGGGGGAAAATAAAGCTGGGAAGTGGAAGGCTGAGTCAGAGAGACACTGCCAGCCGCCACGATGAGAAACAGCATGTGAAGATGCCAGTAAGCCACGAGCCACATGGCAAGGTATAGATTTATAGAAATGGATTAATTTAAGCTGTAAGAACAGTTAGCAAGAAGCCTGCCACGGCCATACAGTTTGTAACCAATATAAGTCTCTGTGTTTACTTGGTCGGGTCTGAGTGGCTGTGGGACTGGCAGGTGAGAGAGATTTGTCCTGAATGTGGGCCAGGCAGGAAAACTTTAGCTACATGGTACTATGGATTAGATCCTGAACATTGGTGGGAAAATATGAGATCCAAATGAAGGCTGAAGTTTAGTTAATAGTAAATGTGCCAATGCTTTTATTTTATTTTTTGAGATAGGGTTTATGTAGCTCAAGCTGGCTTTGAATTTTCAGTGTAGCCAAGGATGACCTTGGAATCTGGATACTCCTCCCTCCACCTCCAAGGTTTAGTTCATGGTCTTGATATGTGTACTAAAGTTTTATAACTTTATGTTTAGAGTGGAGCTGGGGTCGGACAGTGATGGCACTTGCCTTTAATCCTAGCACTTGGGATGCAGAGGCAGGCAGATCTCTGTTTGAGGCCAGCCTGGTCTACAGATCGAGTTCCAGAACAGCCAAAGCTGTTACACAGAGAAACCCTGTCTCAAACAACAACTACAACAAAAACCAAAACAAGCAAACTAACAAAAATAAAACAAAAGAGTGGGGTTGGGGAGATGGCTCAGTGGTTAAGATCACTAGCTGCTCTTGCAGAGGACCTGGGCTGAGTACCAGCACCCACATGGTGGCTCACAACTGTCTGTAACTCCAGTTCCAGGGGATCTGATGCCGTCTTCTGACTCTCTTGGGCACACATGTGGTACACAGACATTCATGCAGACAAAATATCTATACACATAAAATAAATTTTAAAAAAGATGCTAAGGATAGAGGAGAAAGGGTAAATGGGGTTTAGTTACTACTATTACAGCTTTTGTGATTACTACGAAATAAAAAGTGTATTAAAAAAATAGAATTCCTGCCAGGCAGTGGTGGTGCATGCTTTTAATCCCAGCACTTGGGATGCAGAGGCAGGTGGATCACTGAGTTTGAAAAGTCAGCTTGATCTGCAGAGTAAGTTCCAGTATGGCCAGGGCTATGTAGAGAAACTTTGTTTCAAAAAACAAAAACAAAACAAAAGCAGAATTGCTGATTATAATAGCATGTCATGTGTGGGAAGGCTAAATG